GCCACAAACTCACAAGCCCCAGCTAATTGTTTGCTGGAATGCAGACAAACTTTTTCAGCTCTTTCACATCTGTGAGTCCTACCCTACTAAGCATGTTATGTTTTTATTTTTGTCAGTGTCTGAACTAATTATTTCATGTGAGAGACCAACATATCAGAACCTCCGACTGTGAAGTTGGTGAAAACCAGCTGACTTAAACATTTAGTGATGCTTTGTTCTCCTGAGGTTATTCCTGCGATCAGTTATGTACATCTGGTTTTAACTTTTAATTACAGCGTTTAATTTAATACAAAACTAATCTTATCTCTCTGCAATGATTTCGATGGGTGACTGAGTACTTTTGTCAAATGTGGTCTATTTGGGCAATCATTTTGAAGCACTTTTAAAACTAACTACAATTTCAATGAAAATAAAATTGCATATACAAAACCATCAGTCAAATAAGAGGAAAAGATTTGCTGATCTTATTCCAATATAAGCTTTTTTTCATACCATTTCTTTTTCTTAAAATGCCTCAATCATTAACTGAAGCTTGACTGGTTGATTGTGACTGTGAAAGTGAAAAAAAATTGCTGCCTCACCTAAGTGAAAGTGAAAGTATTCGCCTAACAATATAAAAGGAGAGCTCAGAATCACCATCAGTACACTGCTATAGGGACAGTAGCAGTAGACTGTTACAGGGATAGAAACAGAACAGCAGTTTTACTGTGAATATTGTAGAAAAGAGGAAAGAAGAAAGAAAAAGAACAAACAAACACTGGATCAGAGAACAGCATTTTGCCGTGATCAGATATCTGCTATAAAGGTAGGTTGTTTTATAGTCTTTTTTTTTCATCAGTGATGCTTTCATTATGCATATGATTAGGAAGACAAAAACACAAAACAAAAAAACTAGCTAGTGAACCATCAAAACTGATTTTCCAGTCCATTGTGAAGCCACCTTTGGCACACTGACCACTAGCAGACAACCTAGGGAATTTATGCTTCCGTTACCTACACATAATCTGAAATGCACCTCTTGGTGATGTGCCAGCAAATACTGTTGCACAAGTATATATGCTATAAATGCAAAAATGCTAAGAAGTGGATTGTTTGTTAATGCTTTCAGCCCATTCCAACTTTATACATGTCTCTCAATGTACTACAGGTGCCATGTTCCTATAATTACCCATTAGTTAAACTTACGTCTTATGAGCTTTAGTATTCTCTTTCCAAAGTCATAATAATTATTTTTACAGTATGTAAATTAGTGCTGCAGTGTGGTAATTTGTGTAAATTATTGTAAAAAAAATACATTTCACTGTGTGTTATACTTGTATAACTATGCATGTGACAAATAAAGAACCTTGAACCTTGAACTTATTAATTATTAATTATTAATTAAATTACTTTAATTAATTAACAGTATGTAAATTAAAGTTCAACTCAATCTATCTTGTTTATTATGATCCAGTAATATAATACATATGATTGAAATGGGCTGGGTTTTCACCAGGGCTGGACTGGGACAAAAAATTGGCTCCGGCATTTTTGGTCCACAAGCCCCACCATATGCATACACATACTATGTATATATTTAATTTTGTTTATTAATAGATATTGAAACAGCTTTTAATCAGGTTAGTACAGTCGTACACTCCACTGCAGTATGTACCAATGTATCAATTAACAGCTACACTTTAGGTATTAACCCTGTAAGACCCAACCCATCAAAACATAGCCAGAAAATTCAGAATTTATGGAACTGAGATGTTTATTAACCCTTATAACCTTATATATATATATATATATATATATATATATATATATATATATATATATATATGTATCGCATTTGATACATTTGACGTCTTTGGCAACTTTTTGTTAACAACAATGTTAATTTTAGACAAAAAAAAAAGAGTTATGTCCATAACAATTTGAAATTATAGCAAGTATTGATCATGTTAATGAGCTAGATGTCTAACAAGCTCATGTATCAAATATGATACAAAGGGCATTATAGGGTTAATATGGCTCATCATGAAAGCAGCCTTTTGTTTTTCCTGAATCCTTGAATCTCTCCCTTCTTAATTATGTCCTTCCATCTATTCCGGAAAATCATGATCAGTGTTTTCAGATCCAGTTTTCATAGTTTCTCTTCTTGCCTTGTTTTTGAAATATATATATTTATATATGTTTTATATATCCAAATTAGACCACTACTCATTTTTTCACCCCTGCAAACTAGAAAACCAACTCCACGGAGAGTCGGGGAGTTGGTTGTCTAGTTTGACATTGGAGTTTCATTTTGACAGCTAAACTTCCATTTAGGAAATAATCTTTGAAGAATAATCACTTTACTTTCATTATAGTAATCAGAGAGACACTGCTGGAATAACCTAAAGCAACAGTGGGGTGTTAGGGACTGCACCCACAATGAAGGTAAGCAGCTACTTTGTACTTGAATAAAAAATTAGGAGATTATTATGTATTTGTTTTTTAATATAGAATTAATCATTTATCAAAAGAAAATCAGTGCCGAAGACTTGTTTGTTGAGCTTTACTGCGAGGAAGTAGAGACCCCTCCAACTCCATGCAGTATCTGCAAAGATCCCCGCCAACAGACTGATGCAGGAGGTAAAATACATTTTTATGCAATTTCATGTTTCAGCAAAAAGCTGCATGATGAAATCTCTATAAGTCGTTTAAGTAAAAACATTATCAATCACTATTACTATTATTTTTCCCACAGCTCCTTGTTGTCATGTGAAAAAAACACTGTTTAATATCGACAGTGAGTTAGTGTCTCAGCATTTGGAGACTCCTGCTGGTGAAGCTAAGACCTACATTGTGACCAGCTGCAGCAGACATACACACACAAGTAAGTAAATTTAAGTCATAGCTATTTAAAATACAAAAAACAAACAAAAATGTGTTACACAGGGAACGGGTGCATGGACTTGCTAAGTCTCAGTGTAAACATGGAAATGTCTTTATAAAGTAATTTCATTCTACTTTTTGTTTATTTGAAAAGTTGTGTGATAATACTGCACATTCAAAATAGGTGAAAAACAAACTTGTAGGTTGGAAGTAATATTTTAAAGTTCCACTGTAAGGTTATCCCAAATATAACAGTTATCAGTGTGAATTTAGCTAAATTTAATGCTGTTTCGTATAATTTGTCAAATCTAAATTTTAGAAATTTACATTCATGGTACAGATACTGAGAAAATTACTATTACCTATCCATCCATCTACCCATTCTCCTCGGCTAGTTGTTTAGTTTAATCTGTATAGTGGATAGCATTTTTGAAGAATCTTAAAAATAGAGTTAGCCAATTTTGAACAGGATCTCTTTCCAGACAAGTTTACTATCTGAACAACATAGCAATATTTAAAGAAGACGATACCCCTAAAATGAACCTATCAACACATCACTAAAACTAAGAAACTAAACTTAAAGAAATGCTTTTATAGCTTTTATTTGTTTTGTTTTTTAAAGCTTTTATAATACAAAACAAATCACAGTGATGAATACTTTGCATAAACAAGTAACTAAACATTGTTTAAACTAAGTATAAAAGACTACTTTGATGATTTTAATTTCTAGGAAAACAAACAATTTAAAAAACCCTCCCAATGTGTAGTAAACACTTGAACAATGATACGATATACCTACAGTGTTGGGAAGGTTACTTTTAAAATGTATTCCATTACAGAATACAGAATACATGCCCCAAAATGTATTCTGTAACGTATCCCGTTACGTTACTCAATGACAGTAACGTATTCTGAATACTTTGGATTACTTAATATATTATCATGCTTTTTACAACAACGTGAATGTACTATTGCTGTGTGATTTATTACCATTACTGAAGGTCCGTGGCTCCGAACTGTAGTAAAGGGACCTCTGACTGATACAGCGGGGTCCCTGTCGGCTCGTAGCCGAAAAATAGCTTTACTTTGTTGTGTGGGTCAACTTTTCTTGCGAGAGACAGAGAGAGGCGTTGAAAGACTGCTCCAACGGAACTTATTGTTTCGGAGGAAAACACGAACACGGTGTACAGTCGAGTCTTAATAGCTTACTTACAACTGGGCTCGTCAGGCACTCTTCTTGGCTGCAGTGGTTATTATTATATTTACATGCTTCCAGCTCCCGTTTTTCCTCGACGACAACTCGTACCTTTCCACTCCCCTTTTTCTCCCTCCTCGTGCTCACAGACACATAACGTGTATGGCAGTCCATTCTCCCTGCAACACGGACTACACTGCCCATGATGCAACATTCTTTAGAGCTATGCTTGTAGCATTCTGCCTGTTAGCTTAGCACAACAACAACAACGAAAAGGCGCTCTCTCACCCAGGAAACACACAGTCACAGAGAGAGAGAGAGAGCGTCGCGCTGTAACCATGGCAACCGTAACGCTGCCGTCTGGAACAGCAGAACGTAGCTGTCAAACAAAACCAAACAGTCCTGACCCGCGACAAAATGAAACAGGAAAGTACCGCAGTGTAATCCATTTATTTCAACAAAGTAACTGTATTCTGAATACCACCTTTTTAAACGGTACCTGTAACGGAATACAGTTACTCATATTTTGTATTTTAAATACGTAACGGCGGTACATGTATTCCGTTACTCCCCAACACTGTATACCTATGTATATATATGAAAGCTATAAGACTACCACAGGAAGTGGTCGTTTTATGCGAACAATGTTATTAGATTTGTATCTGTAAGAAACATAGTCATTAAGATGGTTACAGAAATAACAAAATTTTTTATATCAACAGGGAGGCACTTGGTGAGCATATTGGAGGACTTGAACTTGAAGCGGTACTACAGGGAGAAACAATCACGTAGCAAATTACTTGAGATTGATGAGCAGATGATTAATGATGAACCTGCCAAGTATAAATCAGACCTCCCATGGTATTTTCTAAAGGAACTGATGATGGTTAATGTCACAGCTAGAAATAGGACAAAACATAATGATCAATCATTGATCACAGACATGCCAAACCCACTCGACATAATCACTGCTCTTTTTCTGTGTTCTGATGGTTTTGTACAGCAGGAAATGGCACTAAAAATGTCCATGTGTCAGTTCTCTGTTCCTCTGCTGCTTCCCAATTGTGACACCAATCAGTGCACACTCATGCTGTGGGCCATGAGAGACATTGTTAAAAAGTACAGACCTCAGTCTCTGTCAGAGTCTAAGGGCTTCATTGAAGACAGAATCGTTCTGTCTGAACTTCCAATGATCTCTTTTGTCAGACTGGGTGAGTGCTCCTCGTCCAAGTCAGAGATTCTCAATAAGCTTCTGAGCAATTCTCAGCAGTACCATGACACCTTTGTTCACCGCAACATGGAGTGTGGTGACAGTCCAAGAGCAATATCCAACGGACTGATTGAAATTACTTGGTATCTTCCTTGTGGAAACACAAACATTGATATTTTCAGTCAGCCAGTGGCTGTAGCTAACCTTCGTGGGGACATTGAATCTTTTGAAACACAATACTCCTTTCTGTGCCACACATCTGCTGCAGTTTTTGTGTTCTTCGGCGATTTGGATGAGTCTGAGTGCAGTCTACTCACTAACATAAACCAAAAGACACAGATCTTCTTGGTTGGCAATGGTGAAAGTAATAACGAGGTTTTAAGAACAGTAGCAAACAAATTGGGCTTGAGTAACAACAACATCATAACTAAGAAGAAACAGAAAAATGATGCAGATTTTGTACAAACTTTGAGAAAAAAAGTCAGTAATGTGGTGGAAAACTCAAAAATGAAGATGACAATAGAGCAGATGGCAGACATTGCCTATAAACTGGGAATCCTGGTTGATGAAGACTCTCCAGAGTGCCAGACTGCAAAGACAAATGCAGAAGCCATCACTGCAGAAATTCAAGATATCCATAAGTACAAAGAAGATCAGCTTCCCCGTCAAGGTGAAATATGGAAAGAACTGGCCTGGTTAGAGAAGGAAGAATTTCGACTTCAACATATCAGGTCTGAAAATATAGAAGATTACAAAAGCAAACTTCTGTTACAGAAAAAAGAACTGCGGAAAAAGCAGAACTCTTATGACATGTCGACAGCTATGACATGCTTCATCAATGCAATATCAAGCCCAGGAACAGAGAGGTTTTATTTCCTGAAATTGATGCAAATGAACCTCGATAACCTGTCTCATGTAAAACTGTCTGAACTTCGGGAAAAATATAAAGAAAAATTTAAGAACTCTGAGAACAAAGAAGAGATCAAGGAAATTGACAGACAAATTTCCAACAGCTCACTGGGGACTGAACACTTCTTCCGTGAAATGGGTCAGATCTATGAAGCTTCACTGTCCCTTCCACAAACAGATCCAGCACGTCAACAGCTGCAGCATCTGCCCAAACTGTGTGCAGAGTTGTTGCTTGATGGATTTCCTCTTGAGCTTGTAGATGGAGATGCATCCAACATCCCTCTCAGATGGGTGACTGATGTTCTCTCTCAGCTCAGTGACTTGGTGTCTCCAAACAGAAAGATACGTGTAGTCACAGTTCTTGGAGTTCAGGGCACAGGAAAGTCCACTCTCCTTAACACCATGTTTGGAGTGCAGTTTGCGGTCAGCAGTGGTCGATGTACTCGAGGTGCTTTTATGTCGCTCATCAAAATCGATGAAGATATGAAAAAAGTCCTAAACTGTGACTTCATGCTGATCATTGACACTGAGGGCTTAAAGTCACCAGAACTTGCACAACTGGACAACAGCTATGAGCACGACAATGAGCTTGCTACACTTGTTGTGGGGCTGAGTGATGTCACCATTGTTAATATTGCAATGGAGAATTCAGCCGAAATGAAGGACATCCTACAAATAGTTGTGCATGCTTTTCTCAGGATGAAGGAGGTGGGCAAAAAGCCTAAATGTGTGTTTGTTCACCAGAATGTGTCGGATGTTTCAGCCCATGAAAGAAACTGACGAGACAGGAAACTGCTCCTGGAACAGTTGAATGAGATGACCCAGGCAGCAGCCAAAATGGAAAAGAAAGAGGAGAACAAGAGCTTCACTGATGTGATGGAGTACAGTCCAGACACTGGGAACTGGTACATTCCTGGACTCTGGAATGGAAACCCACCAATGGCACCAGTCAGTGTAGGGTACAGTGAGGCTGTATATGAGCTCAAGAAACACATCATCCACCTGCTGGGAAACTGTGAGTCATCGGCCAAGGATATCTCTGAGTTTACAGAGTGGATGTCAAACCTATGGAATGCAGTAAAACATGAAAACTTCATCTTCAGCTTCAGAAACAATCTCGGAGCTGATGCATACATGAGACTCTGCACAGAATTCAACAAATGGGAGTGTGAATTCAAAAAAGAGATGTACACCTTTGTAACAAACGCAGAAAGAAGAATTTCCAATTTTGGTAAAGTTGCTGTAAAATTTGAATCTTCTGACATCAATGAATTTCTCAAACGTTTGAAAATTGAAGCCTCCACAGTGCTGTCCACATGGGAGACAAGACTTCTCGAAAATCTGAGACAATATTTTAAGAAAACAGACAGTCATGTTCATCTTGTCGAAGGATATAAAGAGGAATTCTCAAGCAATGCAAAGAGCCTTCGGCGTGAAATGGAAAGGAGTGTTTTTAATCAGCTCACAGCAGCAGCAGAAATCACACAGGAAATGATAGAAATTGATCGAATCAAAGAGAATCACATAAAAGAGATTGAAAATGCAGTTTGGGGACTGATTAATGAGTGTTGGAAAAATAATGTTCCGATGGGAGAGACAGAACTTGAAAATAAGTTTCTCAAGATGTGGTGTGAAACACTGAAGAAACTTCCTTGTTTTGAAAAGCAAGCTGAGCAAATCTTTACCAATGCATCATCTTATCTGAGAGAAAGCCTGAAACGTAAAGGGGAAGCTTCACTTGAACTCTTAGAAAAAAGGCTGGAAGATTGTGGTTTGGTACCTTTCAGATATACAGCTGAAAGATACTCAAATAGAGTTGAGGAAGTAGGTATGTTTTTTGACATTCAAGATTACATAATGGCTGCACAAAAACTGGCTGACAGCATCATAGATGTTTGCACTCAGTTTGTGAGTGAAAAAGTGAGAAGGAAAAAAATGTACTGTGACACATACATCAAGGAGATCCTACACATCACTGATGAGAACCTTGAGAAAAACCAAGACGTCAAGGGAGACATTATGTTTGAAGTTTTTCTAAAACAGCACATCTGTGGAATTGCAGCCATAGAGTTTAAGAAAGTGTATGAAGAAAATGATCCCTACAAATGTTTGATTAAAAACAAGGACAGGTTTTGTGATGACTTCAAACATGTGGTTAATAAAGAAGACCAATGTCAAAAGAAAGCAGAAGAATTCACCAACCAGTGCTTGAAGCCTGCTGTTGAAGACTTTATCAATCAGTCCCTGGGTCCTAAAATCATTGATGAAATGCAGACATGTGAGCAGTTCAGCACACGAATGTCCTTCCAGTGTTCAATTTTACTGGATCTGCTTTTGAAGGAGGATTTTAAAAACTACTAGAAATATATTTTCTCAGGATTATGTAAAGACATACTCAACCAAATAGTGGAGCACTGCTCCACAATATCTGAGTTTGAGGACCGACATCTCCAGTCATGTATAAAAGATGCCATCAACAAGGCAAAAACAAGAAAGAGTGATAATGTGAAGACATTTGTTGAAGATATTTGTAAAGAACTTGGTGATAAACTGGTCATTGCTCTTGGTGCTTTCATGTTTTTGAACAATGCTGACAAGAACAGTTTGCTGACTGGCTCATAGTGTCTGTGAATGAGATGGAACAAGTTCTGAGAAAAGAGTTTCAGACACTGAACTTTGAAGTGAAACTACAGCAGCTCCATGTGCAGCCTGAGAATGAGCTTTTCAACAAACTGGTTGGTTGTGGCAAACAGTGTCCATTCTGCAAAGTTGTCTGTGATGCAGGAGGAGGAAAACATAATGAGCATTTTGCTGCAGTGCATAGGCCACAGGGTCTGGGTAAATACACTTGGCATGTAACAAACAAACTTGTCACTGACATATGCTCTTCCTCTGTGATCAGTGAGCAGAGTTTTAGGTGCATTGATACAAATGGTAGATGGCACCCTTACAAGAATTACAAGGAAATTTACCCAGACTGGAAAATCCCTCCAGATTCGAGCCTTGAGGCATCAGACTACTGGAAATATGTAATGGCAAAGTACAACACGGACCTTGCCAAAGAATATAATGCAAACCCTGCTGATATTCCTGAAAGTTGGAATGACATCACAAAAGAGCAGGCAGAAAAAAGCCTCAAGAAATCATTTAACATCAAGTAACAACTTACATACCTTCTCATTTTTGTTCTTGTGTACAGAAGAACACATCCCAGATATTGTAATTTTTGTTTTTGTGAGATAGAAAGAAAAACTAGTATTTCATAAGACAAACCTTAAAATATTTTAACACCCACATACATATTAAACAATATGATTTAAAGCAAGTTTTTTAAAGAAGTTTTTGGTTACTTTTACCTCTGTTTGAAAAATAATCTGCTCACAGGTTTTTTGCACTTTTAAGTAATTAATTCAAGTAATTATATTAAAACTAAAAAAAAATTTAACGCTAATCATTAGCTCATGTACATTCGCACATGCATATGAACATCCTTTTGCTTTGTTTCAGATAGTCACTATGTGTGTTATAGATGACTCAGTCTCCATTCTTTTAATAGGACAGTCAAAATGAAAAATCTAACAGTGCTGTATCTGGGGGATCTGATGTAAAATATTTACATGTTTGAGGTTTTTGAAGCAAATCTGAGTATATACTAAATATTTGACTTTGTTATTCTGTATTTAAAATTATCTTTTCCTGCTCTGACATATGTAATCTTATATGTATCTATATGTATTTTTTAAATGTTTTAATGGAACATTCATTCTATATCTGTCATGATCTGCAGAGTTAAACTTCGGTCAGTGTTAAGTTAAAATGACCTCAGTGATGTGGATTTAAAATTGTCTTTCTGTCCATAGAATGTTAATCAACAGATCTTGAAATTATGTTAGTGATGTATTATTGCCTTCATTTTTAATGTGTTGGGAGAATTAAATTAATTAATTCAGACAAACTGTGTGGCCAAAGACTCATTAGTGTTTCCACATTTGTCTGATCCAGTCCACTGAGATGGGTCTGAATATAGGCTTGGTTGAACCCCAAAAGAGACTGCTCAAAGCTTCCTGATGAGAGTTTTAGATCTAAAGCAGAAAGTCTTATTTGCTTCCCAAGAATCAGAGTCAGGACTCAAATACGACCCAGCTTTTGTCCAGCGTATGTGTTTGCACACCATACTCACAGGCTTCCAGAGTGACAGTGTCAGGATAGATATGCAGCCACTCCTGTTGGACTCTAAGATACCTGATGAACTCCTGTTAGAGAGGTTAAATATGGCTTGTGCCAATGAGGCAGAAAGGAAAAACAAGAAGAGATGTTTAGCATCACAGACTGCTACAAGTGTGAGTGCAGTGCAGTCAGATGATGTGTCACCGGCTAAGAAGCCTGTAAAAGAAGTTAAAGCTAAGATACCACCCGAGCTTTTAACTGAGTTAGCGGAGCTTAAGATAGGTGTAGCCTCCCTGAAAGGTCTCAGTGCAGAGATAGCTCAGATTAAAGAGACTCTACAGCAGCCGGTGCCTGGTCCTCAGTCATATGCCCCACCACCAGTTATGCAGTATGATAGGGACCAGCAGTATTATAGCTTCCAGGGCCCCCGTCAAAGACCACCACCCCCTCAGTATCCTGTACAGCACTACACAGGTAGTCCAGCCTGCTGTGAGAGGAGGTGCCACATCTGCCAGCAGAATGGAGTCAACAAGCGCTGCACCCACTGCTACCTCTGTGGGAGTAGAGAACACTTTCAGGCTGGTTGTAGAAGCAGAGGTATGAGACCATATAAAGAGAAACATTTAAACCAGCAATGGTTACCACCGAGGGACGAGTGTTAACCATGCCCATCATCCACAAGTCCCAACATTGCTCCAACTATAAACAAGAAAAGTCAGGCATGAGACAGTGTTCAGCATGTAAAAACGCACTTTATTGTTCAAGAACATGCCAGAAACAACACTGGAGACAACATAAGAGACAATGCACTGGCTTAAAGACCAAGAAAGAAAATGAGACTGTCCAGGTACCACTGTCGCCAGCTCAGGAAGGGCAGAGCAGACCCGGCTCCACTTTACATTCACGGGAGCTGTGTGGAGAGGGTACACTCCATGAGGTTTCTGGGCGTGCCGATATCTGATGACCTCTCCTGGACTGCAAATACTACGGCGGTGGTTAAAAAGGCCCAGCAGCGTCTCCACTTTCTGAGAGTGCTCAGGAGGAACAACCTGGAGGAGAGGCTGCTGGTGACATTTTACAGAGCCACCATAGAGAGCATCCTAACGTACGGCATAACAACATGGTATGCAGGGTGCTCAGCTGCGGACAGGAAAGTACTGCAGAGGGTCATCAACACAGCCCAGAAGATCACTGGCTGCTCTCTGCCCAGCCTGGAGGTCACTGCAAACTCTCGGTACCTCAGCAGAGCTGGCAATATCATCAAGGACCACTCTCACCCCAGCAACCAACTGTTTGAACTATTACTGTCAGGCCGACGGTACAGGTCACATAAAACCAGGACAAACAGATTCAGGGATAGCTTCTTTCCCAGAGCCATCACCGTAGTAAATAAGCACAAAAACAATTGAACCTATTCCATACCGTCACTGTCATTATATTATGCTGCTATTCATACTGTCATTATATTAATGCTGCTATCCTGTATATATTGTATATACTATTGTTTGAGTACTTACGATTGTTTTTTTGTACTTTTTATATTTTACATTTATATTTATTATTGAAACTTGCACCAAGGGAGTGGCACTCCAATTTCGTTGTACTCTGTACAATGACAATAAAGGCTATTCTATTCTATTCTATTCATGTAAATTCCCCTCACAAAGTCACATCTCTGGTGGGCAGGCAATGTCTGGTTGAGTGTCTCCTGGACGGCCACAGGCTTCAAGCTCTATGGGACTCAGCCTCACAGGTATCAATCATCGATGAGAAGTGGAAAAAGTACTATCTGCCACACACAGAGCTGAGAGATGTAGCAGATATTATGGATACATCTGAACTCACCCTGACCGCAGCAAATGGGACCAACATGCCATATCTTGGGTGGGTTGAGACAACCTTCCAACTTGTTTCCGGAACTGAACAAACTGAGAAATTGACCATCCCCATGTTGGTAATGAAAGGTTTTCAGCTCACATGCCCTATTATAGGCTACAATGTAATTGAATACATTGTGAATAAGACTGACCAAGCTAAACTGTACAGCACAGTGAGAAAAGCATTTCCCAGCCTCAAAAGACACAAGGTGAAAGCTTTTATACAGGCTGTTCAGGCTGTTAGTGCAGATGCAGTTGACGAGTACAAAGTGATGACAAAGAAAGACTGTATTACTGTACCTAAAAAAAGCCACATGCATGTTGAGGGTCGTATAGCAGCAGGGCCATTTAAACAAGACATGGTCATGATATTTGACCCAGACTTAAGTAAGTAAGTAAGTAAGTAAACTTTATTTATTAAGCGCTTTTCGCAGACAGGCAATCACAAAGTGCTGTACACAAATATTAAAATAAACAATAAAATCAGTAGACATTATATACAATGTAAAAGATCAAATGTAAATAATGTAAAAAAATAAAATAAAATATGTAGATCAACAAAAGGCTTGTTTGAACAGAAGAGTTTTTAACTGTTTTTTAAAAGAATCCACAGAGTCAAGCAAACGTAATTGTAGTGGTAAACTGTTCCACAGCCTTGGTGCAACAGACTGAAAGGCTCTGTCCCCCTTTGTCTTCAATCGTGTACGGGGAACAACTAAGAGACTCTGAGTCTGTGAGCGGAGATGACGAGCAGCAGTGTATTTTAAAAGAAGCTTGGATAAGTAATCTGGAGCCTGGCCATTTAGTGCTCTGTATGTTAAAACAAGAATTTTAAAGCGAATTCTAAACTCTATTGGGAGCCAATGTAGAGAATATAAGATGGGAGTGATGTGAACACGCTTGGTAGAGCGAGTTAGTAATCTGGCTGCTGCGTTTTGTATTGTCTGGAGGCGAGAGAGAGATGATTTATCCAAGCTAGTAAACAGGGAATTACAGTAATCTAAGCGTGATGACACAAATGCATGAATGAGTTTTTCCAGTTCAGCTGAGGAAACCATATGTCGCAGTTTAGAAATGTTTCTTAAATGATAGAAACAGGAACGAGACAAAGATTTTACATGAGAGTCAAGGCCCAGAGAAGAGTCAAATATTACTCCAAGATTTCGAATATTTGACTTGACAGATGGACAGAAAGAGGCAAGAACCTGACTGATTTTAGAATGTAGCTCAGGAGGAGCTATGATCCCGGTCTCAGTCTTGTTAGTATTTAGAACAAGGTAGTTGCTTGAAAGCCAATCAGAAACCTGGGTTAAGCAGTGGACTAGGGTGGACAGCCTATTGAGCTGATGAGGCTTAAAGGACATATGGAGCTGAATGTCATCAGCATAAAAATGATAAGACAGGTTGCTAAAAGATTGAATGATACTAGCTAAAGGAAGCATATAAAAAGAAAATAGTAATGGACCTAAAACTGAGCCCTGTGGGACACCACAGGTCAGGGCAGCAGTGTTAGAGGAGAACCTATCAGTCCTAACAGAGAAGGTCCTGTCTGATAAGTAGGAAGAAAACCAGTCTAGGGCAGAGCCAGATACACCAGCCAAAACCTTGAGCCTGTTAAGTAGGATTTTGTGGTCGATGGTGTCAAAGGCTGCACTAAGATCAAGCAAAATGATCACAGAACAGTTCCCTGCGTCAGATGCCATTAACAGATAGACTCTTAAGACAGCGGTCTCTGTAGAGTGCTGCTTTTGAAAGCCAGACTGAAAAGGGTCAAGAATCTGTAATTGACATAATAGAGACCTGAACTGATTTTCAACAATTTTTTCAAGTAATTTACTGACAAATGGCAATTTTGAAATAGGTCGGTAATTACTAGCAGAGCTAGGATCGAGATTCTGTTTTTTTAACAGAGGAGTTACCTCAGCGTGTTTAAAATAAGATGGAACACAGCCTTGCCTCAGTGAACTGTTGATGATGGATAGTAATGTGGGACCAATGCTGGTGATAGACCCAGACAGGACAGAGTGAGGTAATATATCTACAGAGCATGACGAGGATTTCATTTTACCTAAAACTATAATTAAGTCATTTAGTGTGATTGGAAAAAAGGAGGTAAATGATCCAGAACAGCAAGGGGTATCTTCATAAGGGGAGGCACTTGAGGAAATTTTAGATTTCAAGTCCATCACCTTATTTACAAAGTAATTAAGGAAAGTATTACAATCTTCATCAGAAAGCAACAGAGCATGCTGGGTTGGAGGAGAAACAATACTGTTGATGGTATCAAATAGAATTCTTGAATTATTTTTATGACGGTTTATAAGATTATTGAAGTAAGAGGATCTGGCTTCTTTGACTGATTCATTATATATGTAAAGTAGTTCTTTAAAGTGCTCACGATGGACAGTCAGACCGGTGGACTTCCACAGACGCTCTGCTTTTCGATAGGAGCGTCGAAGACCACGAGTCTGATAATTTAACCATGGTGTCCGGGAGCTAACAGAACAGTAACTGGTTTTGAGAGGAGCAACCTGATTTAGAATGGCAAGACAGTGTTCATTAAAATAATTAGTTAGAAGCTCAACCTCATTAGAGGAACTTTTAAAATTAAAAAGAGAGGAAAACTCAGAAATTATAGAATCGTCAATGAAGCGCCTGCACCTAGTAGAACCTTGAGGATGGGACTCTGAATTAACAGATACAGTAAAAGAGACTGACTTATGGTCACTAAAAACAACTTCATTTAAATTCATGTGTTCAAGGGAAACACCATAGGTGAAGACCAAGTCCAGGGTGTGCCCAGCCCTATGAGTAGGCCCTGCTACATGCTGAACAAAGTTGAAAGAGTCCATAATGCTCAGAAACTCCTTAGTGGTACTGTTTGTTGAGTCATCCACATGAATGTTGAAATCTCCAACGATGATAACCTTGCCCATTTTGATAGTGGAAGTTAAAAAGTCTTGTAGATCTGACAAGAAAGCTGCAGCAGACCCAGGTGGACGATAAATTAAAATGCCGTATATGGGCTGTTCTCTTCCAATTTTTATCATAAGCATCTCAAAAGAGTTGTAGCAACTTGAAGAAATCATCTGGCATAAGAAAGTATTTTTAAAGATTACAGCTGTTCCACCTCCTCGTCCAGATATCCGAGGTGCACAGAGAAAAGAGCAGTCAGCGGGACAAAGCTCTAAAAGATGTGAGACTTCATTCTCACGTTGCCACGTCTCAGAGATAAACATGAAGTCAAGCTTCTCAGAGCAGAACAAGTCATTTAAAATATAAGACTTATTGGCGATTGAGCGAGCATTAATTAACATCCATTTAAGGCTGCGACTCACCAGGACAGGGGTAGAGTTTCCAGGAACAGAGTCCACGCTATGCGGTAAGCCGCGCAGCAAAACAGGGTTCCTGCCGCGATGGGGCTTGGCTTTCCATGCTTTCAGATGACAGCTTGGGTCGTAAACATAGTGGGTTGTGGGGATTAATCCAGTTCCGACAAGTTTCAGCCGAATCTCACCGGTAGCAACCCAGGAATAGAGCCCCCGAAGGTCCATCTCTTTCCGAAGACGACAGAGCAGAACGTGAAGGCCGGCTCGCTTTCCCCGCTTTCTCCGACGAGGCCGCTGAAGCAAAAATGAGCTAGCCTGCAAGAGTGGAGGTAGACCTGGTGCTGCGTCGCGCTCTAACGGCGGTAGGAAAACAGCCTAGTTTCGTTGACTCTGAAAGCTATCCATTGCAGATTTGATCGCTAGCAACGCATGACGATCATAAATCCGAAGGGAGGT